TTTCCTTTTTGGCACTAGGTTCAATTAAATTTTCATTAAACATTTGAAAAAATGAAGGTATGAAAAGTTTTCTACTTAGATTTGAATTTGTGAGGGGAAAAATTTTGTATTAAAAAGTCTACAAATTTCTAATTGCCAATTCTTTCTTTTGAGACAAATTTTCTATTTTAATTTGCCCTTGCTCTTTAAAGTTTATTTTCTTAAGTCATTTTGTGGTTAGTTTGCTTTGAACATATTTCAGACATTTCACAATTTATATATGGAAAAGCAGGAATTTTCTTATGTCTAGTTAATATCTGATTTCCAGAAAACCTGATGATAAAGTGGGCCCCTATTTAACATTCGTGAATTTAAACATGCCAATTGAAATGGGGGAACAGATCAAACAATTCAGATAACTTCATCTTTCTCTATCTTTCAGAAGTACCAAAACATACTTTTGCCTAGATTTTGAATATTTGAACAAAACACTTTATGGTTCAAATCCTTAGATAATTGCATCAATTTAGTGTAGGAGGGAACCTGAGGGAGAAGAAAAGCAAAGAACGTGTGGATACACTCCAAAAATAACTTGAAACTTGTAAAAAAAACATTGCTTTACTCTAATATATGGCTCTTGGGAGTATAAATTCTTTCCACTGTTTATGGAAAACATTTTGGCAATACTTATCAAAATGTAAAATGTAGGTACTCTTCAACTCCAAAATTCTACTTCGAGATATTTCTTCCATGGATAAACTCTCATGTGTGAAATGATACATGTACGAAGATATTCTTATAACACTCTTCATGAAAGCAAAAGATTAGAATCAACCTAAATGTGTGCCAGAATGGATTTGGTAAGAAATCATTGACTGTACGTGTTTTATTAGGAGAAACAGTTTACTCCTAGCTAACAGTGCAGTCTCTGGAGCTGACCTGCTTGGTTCTCCTCTTGCCTCCACCACTTGCTGCTGTGTGGGCAAATGAGTTAGCCTCTCTTTACTTCCATTTATGCCTCTGGAAAATGAGATGATAATAGTACTCTTCAGTGGATTTTTGTGAGGATTAAGTTAGTGCAGAGAGGGTTAAACATGTGCAGTATTTGGCACAGTGCCAGCACAGAGGAAACATTTAACAAATACAATAGATCCTCTGCCTTGCTAAAAACATATGTGGCGGGGGACACAAAGAAAATAATGACACGCTAGTCGTCATTGCTTTCATGGAGGACACAGAGAAGGGAGCCATTAATGTTGTCTGAGATGTAAACACATACCTGTTAATGCAGATGATCCTACAATATAGATAATTTACATGTAGATCATGGGAGGGTTAACTTTACCCATGACACTCTATAGATGGAAAAACAAATAATTCAAATATTTATGTCCATAATTAGTACATGATAGTGTGTTAATATTCAATTTGATTTGTTATCTATTCTCATTTGGACTATTGCCCAAGTCCTTAAGACGTGAAATCTGTGATAAAGAGTAAACCCAATAAAAGTTGGATCACCAATATTTTTACAGGAAACTATGGGAGTCGATGCTGCCAGATGACCAGGATATCACGCTAATGGGGAAAGAATATTTTACCCCACTCGAGTAAGTAGGAAAGGTCACAATATCATAGGGATAAGAGAAAACTATTTCACAGAGACAGTGACAGATAGTGGTGACAGCTGTGTTATGGGCATTCCCAGGGCAGCATCAGGTCATCAGAAACATAAGAAGTCATCACTTGGGGGTGGCTAACAAAGAGACCTGTAGTGAGAAAACCCAGAGGAACGTGGAATAGGAAGGTAAGTGAGGTGCCCAAGAATCTTTCTATGATCCCCTTGGACCAGATATTTGAGCAATCTAAGTTGGAGGCACAGAACAATTGTTAAGTATATTGTCTGAAAAACCTGTCAAAATCATCTGTTTAGATTTCTGAAACATCAGGAAAAGGCAGGATTGTACCAACCCGGGTAGGTCCTTGCCTGGGTGTCCTGAGATCCTCACCCCCAGAAGCATAGTATATTTTATTTCTTTAACATTATTGAACTTTTCTATCTGGATAGTTACTTTGCTTAATGGGATATAGGAAAAATTTGCTGATGATATGAGAAAAAGGAAGAACGATTTTTAATCTTACAACTCACTTGATTTTTGTCCTTGTACCTGCATAATTAGACTGTCAGATGTCTTTAAGGACAATAAAGATTTTCAAATGTAGTACCCCGAAAGCAGAGAAAACAAAATATTAATCATGGTAATGGTGCGTGAATGCAAACAGGTCTGGTAGAGACCCTGGAAGTTTTTTGCTGGCAGAAATTCCTGAAGGAACAATAGGAACTTGAAGGTTTAAAATAGCAGACATCGTTTCTCCTTTCTTAAACCAATCAACAATTTAGTGGAAATAAAGATGTAGAAAGGGAAATGTCAACTTTAATGAAATGATGAAACCCTTTAGCTCTGAAACTTAGTACATATGTATGAAGTAGGGTGATTGGGGGCAGGGAAAATTTGATCCGAGCAAAAGAGGAAAGCAAGAAGAGATAAAGAGGATATGTTATGAAATTATCAGCTGGTTTTAGAAAAGAGAAAGAAGGACAAGGGCAAATAAACAAATAAATACCTGCTCTTATAAAATTGAAAGTCTCCGTTCATCTCGAGCTCCTTGCCACAAAAAGTTCAATGGTCTCTGCTGTTAACATTGGCATTTATTCCTGTGATATGCACTTGTTTTCATTTCGTTGTGTAGAGTCAGGTGCACCTACTTCTCCAAAATCACAGGCCCTTTGCTCGCACCAACTAACTTGGTATCTACAGGCTGCTGTTGCAAGTTTCCGTGAAGCCTGTTTGAAGAGATGCCATCTTTGTGGCATCCTTGGGGTTGTCTTAGTGTTTACAGTATAAATCTTTAACATATCATAATGTTGCTTAAAGTGTTATTACACCACTTCATGCGTAGTGTGAAAACTTTCCAATAGTATATTTCACTTCTGCTCTCCTAGCCTTTGCGCTCTTGTTGCCATACATTTTGCTTTTCTACACTTCATGGAACACCGTACTACATACAACGTTTAATGGAATAACTTGCAACAATTTACAAAAAAAAGAGGAACCACTTTATGAATTATATGGAATATTTTCCAATATATATTATTAAAAAAAGAAAGCTGAAGAACAATATCTTGCTTCTGTGTGTGTGTGTGTGTGTGTGTGTGTGTGTGCACAGGTATATTTACATATATGCTTATAGAGAAAAAGATCTTGGAAAGAGACGTAAGAATTCAGTACCTGGTAATAGTTTCTGTGGGGAAGGGAATCAGGGCATTTGTACTTTTTACTTTTTGTATCTCATTTATGCATTATCTAGTAAAGCGAACAAGTAAATCAGTGAATGGGGGTAGACAGAGAGGGACTACACTGGAAAGGAAAGCATTGCTGCAAGTCTGCCGTCAGCCACTTGGCTGTATCAATATCTGAGTGACAAGAATCGCAGATAAGGAACAGAGAGGAGAAGCAGATGCGGAGCCCTAGACGATGAGCTTGGTTTTATGAATATTACATTTGAAAACATAGCTTCAGAGATAGGAATTTAGAGCGTTAAAGAGAAAGGTATGGGTTTAAGATAAATATTTTAAAATCACATACGTACAGACATTAATTGAAACGTGACGGTCGGTGAAGAAGTTCCGCTGGACTGAATGTGGAGTGAGGGAGGAAGATAAAGGGAGGACTAAACATAGAGACAAATTGAGGGCTGAGGGGACTAAATGGCTGAGATTTTTGCTCTGCATCTCCTATCTCTAGGTCTGGGGATCCTACTACATTTCAAGTACACATTCATGTAAATATAAGTATATTTACTATAGATGTTGCTTTCAAACTTTCATAGATACGTTTTATACATATTTGTGTGTATGTATATTTATATGTATACATAAATATATATATTTGTGTGTCTATATATTCTTTTCATACCTTTTACTTAACACCAGGATACTATAAAAAAGCCAACTCTTGATTTCCTCTCCATGAACAGATTGTGAAGCTTGTGGCCCAGAGGGACATGACCAGGAGTGTCATTCAGCTTGAAAATACTGACAACTGAAAACTAGTGAGAGGTTCTAAGGTCAGCCTCCACAATAGGAATAATTTGAACCTTTTAAAGATAGCCATACTGCTTGTTATCTGGGTCAACTAGAAAAGGCATATTGGCTAAAGATTTGTCATAATTTAAGAATTCAGCATGGTATCTCCCACCCACTTTCACCTCAAAATAAGTGGATTTTTCCTGTGGTGTAACGTTTCTTTTTCTGCGAAAAGGAGAAGAAATGGAAGAGAACGTGAATTAGCTTCTCGTAGAAATTGGAACCAGTGGCTTTTCATGAAAACGAATCTGGCTTGTTCTCTACCAATTGCCTAAATACAGAGTGGGAAGCCAAAACGCAGAGGTATTTGCTTAAGGCTTGCAAATAATTTTGCTGATCTCAATGTTAAAATTTAAGATTAAAATCTTTACAAACCACAATTTAATTCAATAAGCCCAGAAAGAGACTAAAGTCAATGATTGTACTGAGATTGTGTATATTCCCCAGAGATTAATTTTGTCAGAAATAAGAAAGCTGCCTAGCCTATTTTTAAAGAGCCAAATTGTGTTTTAGACTTTTAAGTTTTGTGTATCTTAGCAACCCACAGAATATGTACGCCTGAGAAAAGAGGAGATTCACACTGTTGCATGCTACATTTTATGGAAATGTTAAGTTTATGATCTCCCATTATATTTCTGGATGAGATATTCCCTCTCCAAAATGTAATAAAGCTGCTTAATTGTATTGTATTTCATGGAAGAAAGGTACTTTGAGGCTTTCTTTGGTTTACAGAATTTACATAATACTTCAGAGGAATAAATCAAAGATTTCAGTACATAGCTGGTACAAAGTTTTCACCACAGTTTATATATAATTGTAGATTATAAGGAGGCATTTATAAAGATGAGAATGTCTGTGTTACTTATCTAATTTCATATTTAGAGCTAACAATTTTTAGGGAAATTAAATATTCTGGGACTAGACATCATATATGTGTGTAAATCAATTCGTTATACATTTACTGAGCATCTCCTGTGTGCCATCCACTGTGCAAAGAACTAAAGAGATCCAGATAAAAATGGCAGTTTCTGTCATCAATGTACTAACATTCTAAGGGATAAAACAAACTAAAAAAAGTAATCATACAATGTAATGAGAGAAATAACAAAAGATGTGTACTGGGATATCATATCTATTGCAGTATAAAGACACGACATATGCAGGCCTAAATAGATAACTTGTGTATAGAAAATACATTATTTTGAGCTCCTCTGCTCTAAACAGGCCAGCCCTGGTGGTCTAGTGGTTAAGATCTGGCACTCTCATTGCCACAGTTTGGGTTCATTTCTGGTCAGGGAACCACACCACCTGTCTGTCGGTTGTCACACTGTGACAGCTATGTGTGGCTGGGATGCTGCAAGCTATGCCACTGGTATTTCAAATACCAGCAGGGTCACCCATAGTGGACAGGTTTCAGCAGAGCTTCCAGACTAAGGCTGGGAAGAAGGACCTGGTCACTCACTTCTGAAAACATTGGCCATGAAACCCTGTGAACAGCAGGGGAGCATTGTCTGATACAGCATGGGAAGATGCGAGGATGGTGCCAAAAAGAGCGGGCAGGGTTTGGCTCTGCTGACCACAAGGTCACTGAGAGTGGAAATCAACTCTCGGGTGCGAACAAACCCTAAACGGATACAACACAAACATTTACAAGTAAGAGGGGGAAAAAACTCCATGTTTATCTTGAATCCTACTTAATAGATATTTGGTAAAATAGATACTTTTTTCCCAAGTAGTTTGTTTGTCGAGTTATCGTTGATATTGCAGTGTATTTTTTGCATGCTTTACTTTGGCTATGAAATGTGCAAAATTATGTTATAAAAATATGTTTCTCACATGGGAAAACAGAATATATACCTGAAACTGAGCAGCTTTTTTTTTAATGATGAACTTAGAGTCAAAAAATTAATTTACCTGATCTCTTTCTTCTCTGATTTATTTAATGCTTCCTTGGTCTCCTTGAGGAAGACAATGTGACTGAACTATTCTTATTGTCAGAGAATTCTTTTTCCGTTTTAAAAACTCTGTCTATGGTATGAGTTGTTGACTTAAGCTGATTTCTTTCCTGTCTCCACCTCTTTTGCCATCATTTATATATTATGCTTAAAGCATTTTTTAAAAAGTTTTCTCATATCTTCTCAGAAAGCCCTTGTAAATATTAAAATAATAAATTGTCTAGCCAAAAGAATCTTGCGAACCATATCCATGTTTTCCAACATATTGTTTACTGTTCTTTGCCTTGGAATAAGCAAGATAAATGTGAATAGCTGAGAATTGTCAAAAAGACAAGTTAAATCCACGTATAATGCTAAAAATTAGTTCAGTCCATGTGTAATACTAGTAACTATAGCAAGTCATGAACAAGATTAGTCATTGACTTCTTAAGATTCTTCTAGGTTACAAGTAATGTTCTCCCAGTTGCTTCCTGCCGGCAAAAGCAGAGCTTGGTGCTCCACTCATAACTTTGCTCAGTTATCTGTTGCTTGCATACATACTCAGGTTTCCGCTTGCCTCATTGTAGACAGTAGGTTTTAGGGCTTGAAGCCTTAAATCTGCCCATCCACTATTGTTCCGTGGACGTGACGGCTCACTTTCACGTCATTCCCTCTAGACAGCTTTTCATTTACGATAAACAAGGCTCCAGGGAAATCTCTCTCATAGCTGCCTCCTCCTTTCTATTTCTACTTCTGCCACATCCACTGTCTTGGTTCAGACCATCTTCTCTATCTTGACTAGTCCATTAGTCTTCCTACCTCTACACGTGCTCAACATTTTTCTTCTGGCATTGTAAGCAAACAAGACACTCTCAAATCTCCTGTTGAATCCTTCACTTAAAAAAGAGGTCTGCATTTCTGTCAGGTACTTCGTCAGGATTCCTGAAAACTGCCCTGCACTGGGGGGGTGGGGGGGGGTGTGGGGGGGAGATAAGAGGTGTTTCTGGCAATGAGCAGCCAGATTTGCATTAGAAAGTCTTTCATTACCACTGCATTTGTGGTTTTGGACAAAACTAGGAGGAAGGATGCCCTAGGGGGGGAGGAAAAGGCAGCCCTGGCTCTGCGGATGAAGGTTTGCTGCAGCACTGAACAGAGACGTTCAAAATCTCTGTTGTGACAATGAGAGGAGGAAGAAGACAGGACTGTGATTCTGCCAGAGCAGGCACGGGGCCAGGCCTGGGACCCTGTGTACCCGAAGAGGCTGACCTACAGGGAGTAAATAATGGAGTTTCACTTCTGTACAGGCATATGAAGATACGGTGGGTCTGGTTCCAGACCACTGCAATAAAGCAAATATTGGAATAAAGCGAGTCACACTAATTTTTTGGTTTCCCAGTGCACATAAAAGTTGTGTTTACACTATATTGTAGGCTATTAAGTGTGCAATAGCATTATGTGTAAAAAAAAAAAGTACATACCTTGATGAAAAAATACTTTATTGCTAAAAAGTGCTAACCATCATCTGAGCCTTCGGGAGTTGCAATCCTTTTGCTGATGGAAAGTCTGGTGAAAAAAGAAAAAGCAATATCTTTGAAGTACAATAAAACGAAGCACACCTCTACTTTGATCCCAGCTAATTTAGATGGAGCTTTGATATGGGATAAAAGTTAAAAGAGGCAATGAAAACTACCAAACTAACAACTCAGTTCTAAGCTTGGAATCCCTATGTACGTTGAGGTGGCCCTGCTTCTTGGGTATGGGGACTAGAGGCAGTGATAACCCACATTCCCTTTCTCTTCTCCTCTCACTTGTCTCTTCCTTTCTCCATCTCTCCTTTTCTTTCTTTTTCATTTATTTTTATTAAGTAGATATAAAGTAAAATTTATACCACATATAATATATAAATTATAACAATACAAACACCCATGAACTCACCATCCAGTTGAAAGTGGAGAATACTGTATTATTTTGAAGTTCTCTGTGTGCTCCTGCCCCAAACCCTCCATAGAGGTAATAGCTGTAAGAGTTATGTTTACCATTCTCATGCTTTTCTTTATGGCTTTCCTATATGTTTGTAATCCTAAACACTAAATTGTTTAGTTCTGCATTCTTCTTTTTTTCTTGTTGAGGAAGATTAGCCCTGAGCTAACACCTGCTGCCAGTCTTTCTCTCTCTCTCTCTTTTTTTCTTGCTTGAGGAAGATTAGCCCTGAGCTAACATCTGTACCAATCCTCCTCCACTTTATATGTGGGTTGCTGCCACAGCATGTCTGATGAGTAGCATAGGTCTGCACCCAGGATCTGAACCCACAAACCTGGGCTGATGAAGCAGAGGGTGCCAAACTTAACCATTATGCCATGGGGCTGGCCCTAGTTCTACATTCTTAAATTATTTATTCATTTATTTATTTATTTACTTATTTATTTATTTTGCTGAGGGATGATTCACCCTGAGCTAACATCTGTGCCAATCCTCCTCTTTGCATGTGAGCTGCCACCACAACATGGCTACTGAAAGACAAGTGGTGTATGTCTGTACCCAGGTACCAAACCTGGGCTGCCAAAGCAGAGCTTACTAAACTTAACCACTAGGCCACTGGGACTGGCCCTGTATTCTTAAGTTTTATGTAACAACATCATGCTGTATGCATTCTTTTGCAGCTTTCTCTTTTCCCTCCAACTGATATTCTTAAAATGCATCCTTGTTGTTGCTTGTTACTATCATTTTATTTTCATTGTTGGATGGCACTGTGCTGTGGTAGATATTTGGGTTGCTTGTAGTTTCTTTTTGCTATTACAAACAGAGCTTCTGGGAGTATTTTGGTGCATATTTCTTGGTCCATATATATAGAAAAGTTTCTCTAGGGTATAAACGTAGGAGTGCAATTGCTTTGCCATACGTAGGATAGACACGTCTTCAATTCTAGATGTAGCCAAATGGTTTCCAGAGTGACAATATCGCCTTACACTCCCACCTGCTGTGTAGAAATGTTTTGGTGTTCCACATCTTTGATGGCACTTGACAGTCTTGGTCTTAAAAATTTCCAGTCTGGCAAACATGAAATGATATCCCACTGTGGATTTTCCATGAATAGTAATGCTGTTGAACATACTTTACATATTTATTCATCTTTGGGATTTCTTTTTCTCTGAAGTGTCTTTTTAAGTCTTTATCTCATTTTTTTCTGCAGAGTTTTGTCTTTTTAAATTTGCTTTGCAAGAGATCTCTGCTGTTGAAATATATTCATTGTAATTATCTTCTCCCAGTTTGTGACTTAGATTTTTACTCATGTTGCAGCGTCTTTTGATGAACATTGTAGAATTTCATGTAGTCAAATTTACCAATATTTTCCTGTACTTTTTTTTTTCTTGGTTAAGAAATCTTTCTATCCCTTTTGCTCTCCTCTGATGTAGTGTCTACAGAAGTCAAAATATAATGACCTATACTTGAAATTTATATAATGTTATAAACCAATGTCACCTTAGTAAAAAAATAAATAAATAAAGGAAATTCTTCGATAGCCTAAGAATATAAAGATATTTTTGATAGTGTTTTCTACGTCTTGCAGTCTTTCTTTAATACGCTTTTTATTGTAGAATAATTTTAGCTTTACTGAGAAGTTTCAGCAACAGAACAGAGAATCCCTATATATCCCTCCCTCGTTCCCACCCTTTGTTAATGTCTTATATTACAATGACACATTTGTCAAAGCTAAGAAACCATTAGCACATTACCATTAATTGAACTCCAGATTTTATTTGGATTTCACCAGTTTTTTCTCTTTCTGTTGTAGGATGCAGCCCTGGGAAAGATTGTGTTTCTCTGTCATTTCTCTCCAGTCTCCATTGGTCTGTGACAATTTCTCAGTCTTTCCTTGTTTTCCTTGACTGTGGCAGCCCTGAGGAATACTCCCAGGTATGATGTAGAAGGGCCTTGAATCTAAATTTTTGGATGTTTTTCTAGTGATTAGAGGGGCGTTAAGGGCTTTTTGAAAAAATACCGTATAGCTCAAGTGCTCTTCTCACCCAAGAATATCAAGGGGGACATGATATCTACAGAACATCAATGGGGATATTAACCATAACTTGGTTAAGCACAACCGTCAGACTTCTCCACTGTAAATACTCTAGTCCTTGGAAACAAGTCACCACATCTGGCCTACCCACAAGGAAGCATAGTGGCGGTGATTAAGCTCTATCTCCTGGAGGGAGGAGAGTCTATATGTGTTAAATGGAATACTTCTGTAAGGAAGATATATCTCTTCTTCCTAATTTATTTATTTATGCAATCATTTATCTTTATTTGTGTATATATTCATGTACATTTACTTTGTATTTTGGGTTAGTCATCGTTTTTCATTCACTTTTAACTCATTGTCTATCTGGAGTTGATATTTTAATATGGTGTGAGGTAGGGGACTAGTTTTATTCTTTTATATACAGATAATTGTTTCAGCACCTTTATAGAAAAATCCATCCCCCCAACAAACACACACTTATCTACAAGGGCTGTCTATTCATGAAAAGGTTCTGTTTAAAATAATCTTGCTGGGGCCAGCCTGGTGGCGCAGTGGTTAAGTGTGCACATTCTGCTTTGGTGGCCTGGGGTTTGCCAGTTTGGATCCCAGGTGCGGACATGGCACCGCTTGGCATGTCACGCTGTGATAGGCACCCCACATATAAAGTAGAGGAAAATGGGCACAGATGTTAGCTCAGGGCCAGTCTTTCTCAGCAAAAAGAGGAGGATTGGCAGCAGTTAGCTCAGGGCTAATCTTCCTCAAAAAATAAAATAAGGTAAAACAATAAAGAAATAAAATAAAATAAAGTAATCTTGTCAATTTAATAATTAAAGAATTATACTGATTTAATTGTCAAATATTGAACTTTTCAAGTTTAATATTTTTTCTTATCTTGACCTATTTGCTATGTTGTGTATTCCTTGTGGATGTTAAGAACTGTTTATAGCCAATATCAATTAAAAATCTCTTAAGAATACTTGGAATTTTTTTTAAAGCCAAAGTAAAACATTCAAGGTAATAATAGCTACTGTTGATTAGATGTTTCTTGTGGGCTGTATGCGAGAGATTTACCTGAATTCTTTCGTTTGGTTCTCATAGCATTCTTGTGAAATAGCTGCTCTCCAGATTACGCAGGTGAGAAAACTAGGGTTCACACAAACAAATGACTCACTTCAGATCACAGCTAATCAGGGGGTAAAGTCAGATTCAAACCTGAGTGTGACTTCAAAGTTAGTTCTTAGTTGACTTCTTCCAGATGCTAATAGAAGGATTCTGCTTGCTTTACAACATAATTCTTTTGACTCAACCAAATTTTCAATGAACCATTAGTGTAAACATTACAAGAAACATTTACTGGTTAAGGTAGATTGTGCTATATATTTCTCAACTGCTATTGATTATGAACAGTAGTAGTTTCAAACTGAAATTGATGCACAATTTAAAAGCCAAAACGGCAATAGAAACATTAAACTGTGCTTGAGAGAGAAGTGTGACCACTTATAAATGAAACTATTAGAAAGAATGCAATTTACAAGCCTACTTAAGCTATTAAAATTATTTTTAGGGAAAGCAATAAACCAAGTGAAACCAGCAAGTGCTCCTTGCTATTAAAACCAGGGAGAATTAAGATGAGACTGGAAAAGAAGATGGGAAACTAATTTATAAGAGCAATTTAACATTTTCAAGGTAATAAGAAACACTTACTCCTTTAATAGATGTTTGATTTTGAATTTTACTATGCAGGGCACATTTTATTTTAAAAGGAGCCATAAAAAATTTAAGTAAAGGACCATAATTCCTGGCCAAGGATGTGTGTTGCTGGTAAATCCCATGATGAGCAAAAATCTGATTGGCTAGACCAAATTCTTATAGAACATAGGAAGCTGGAGGAGAAAATTAAAATGCTAGCCACTGAAAATAAAAGTATTGGAAGGCATTGGTTTCCGAAACAAACCTGAGTTGACAGGGTTAGAATATTCTGCCGACAGGTAGCAGCTCTTATAAATCACTCATCTCGACTGTTCAGGAAGCACGGCGATGACCTTGTTCTGGACAGCCATATTCTTTCCCCAAAGTTTTGTACTATGCAGATTACGCATCTTTATAAATTATTAACCCACCTTTCACTGGCTTAGAATTTTGTATACTGTATTTCTGTTTTTGTAATTCTTTCTTTTAGGATTACTAATTAAACAATACAGATGTTATAAGTTAGATCCTTAAAAAAATTAAAATTGTTACATAAATTTAAATTCTTAAAACCAAGGATGCTAAAATCACAGGTGGTAAGGTGTTACTTTTTTGGCCCTTGTCCCCAAAGTCATATGAAATCAGACAACAGGTTTATAGGCAATTACCTGGATAGTGATGTCTATAAATCAAGTAGAATAGAAATTATCCGAAAATGCTTTGCAAATTTCCTAGGGCAGCTCTAGATGTTGGAATTGATGGGTATGGTAAGTAAAATAATAAACCTCCAAATATGTCCAAATTTTATTCCGGGAATCCGTAAATATTAAATGGCAAAAGGGAATTAAGACATGACTTGATAAGGACCTTCAGATGGGGAGGTTATCCTGGATTATCTGCCTGGGCCCAATGTAGTCACAAGGCTAAAGAGGGAAGCGAGAGTCAGAGGCAGAGAAGCAGATGTGCCCATCCGAGCAGAGGCCAGATGGCTACCATATTGGTTTGAAGATGGAGAAAAAAGCCAGCAGCCAAGAAATGCCTCTAAAAGCTGGAAATGTCTGGGAAACAGATTCTCCTCTGGAGCCACTAAAAAAATGCAGTCCTGAGCGCATCTTGATTTCAGCCCAGTGAGACTCATTTCAGGCGTCCACTCTACACAACTGGAGGATAACAAATAGATGTTGTTTCAAGGCACCACATCTGTGGCAATTTGTTACAGCAACAATAGAAAACTGAGATGAAGGGCACAGGAATATATTTCATAGAAATAAGTAATTTTTTTTAAAAAAGAAGCAGAACCCTGTGATACAGGAGACAGTGAGCAATAAAGATTTCCAGGGAAATAATCATAATTCTCTTCAAACCAGAACAGCAGAGCACTCTTCTCTCTGGTTCTAAAAATCTAGTTACAAATGCTTACATATGCTCTGTTTCAGATTCCGCAAAATCTTTAAATATCTTTGGTTCCATTTTACAATGAAACTCATCTTAGCAGAAAGAAAAAAGAATTCGTGCATTCAAACATTTACTGAGCGTCTAAACATTATAATACTGGGGATAACAACATAAATAAGACAGTGTCCTTTATTCCCTTATTTTGAGGCATACAATCTAGCATGACATTTTCTTTTTGGACCATGACTCGTAGTAGAAAACACATTTTCTATTGCAACTCAGTATATCTACCTTTCTAAGGTTGAACCAAAGCTTGATACACTCTAATATTTTCTATTCTCATCTAGTCTATTTCACTAGAAAATGCTATGTAGAAATTGTTGAATTTTGAAAAACATTAGTTTGAAAAACACTAGTTTCGTAAGTTAGACATCTAGAGAAATAGCTGAACGTGTCATATGCTGTAACAGCTGACAATGACAACCATGGTAATTACAAGAACAGTAATAGCTAACATTTGAAGGCTTACTCTGTTCATTGTTCTAAGAGCATATTCAACATTTGAAGTGTCCTAATCAGGTAATCAGACTTCAGAGACGGTGACATAAAACCTTCAACTATCCTTACGGAAATTACACGAGAGAATTTTTAATTAGCATAAGAAACATTGAAAATGATTTTTAAAAACAGTAAAACGAGTTGTGCTTGAGTTATGTGATTGGATAAGGGCAGTGAACAGGCACCAACGCCCACTTAGGAACGTGGCGTCAGGGGGTGACAAGTCTAGCAGCAGCTAACGTCTTTGGAGGAGCACACAAGCTCTGTTTGGCTGTGCAGCTCCATTTCAGAGAGGATGCTGCTGCTTGACCCAGTCTGCTTTCGGAATGTCTTAACAACCTTGGTACCCCAAGCTTGTAAGCACAGTTTACATGACTATTCGTGCTTTCTTGTTAGTAAATGTTAGACAGGACTTGATGTAAACCTCGTTTTCATTATTAACATGCTGTGGAGTGGCAAGGTAGTGTGGGAGATGATCTCAGCCAACACCTACCTCTAATCACTGAGAGCAGTCAAGATTTGCCCTGAGAATCTAATGATTAAATGGTCAATTTGGCTTCTTTCAGTTTCCCAACAGACTCTACATTCTGTTGCAAGGAACTTGTACTTCATTTCTTAGCTGGGATCTCTCGAAGAGAAGCACGCTTCCAGAAGCATGTCAATGGAATTTAGTACTCTGCATTTTCAACGAGCACCCCTCCCATCCATAAACACTGAAGCGTGAGGACGCTGGTTGACAGGCCAGGAACCACTGCTCAAGTGCAGGGGTTCTATGATCAGATGTGCTGCGGCCTTACCGCCTGTCTCCCTCCCAAGCCCCAGACTGGGAAGGCAGTGTGTCCCGATCATTGCTTTGAAGACTATGGCATGTTCTCTTTCCATCACACCTGGAATTCTTCTCCTTGCGTACTGTTTTCCTCTCAGCCTGTTTGGCCTAAAATGTCTCCCAGTTCTGGTAGTATCATAAGGACAGAGTAGTAGAGAATGGGCGTGAAAGAGCTCAGAAATATTACTGTCAGTCATTTGTTATTTATTATTTTAACTCTTGCATCTTTTAAGAAAGGCCAGTGTCAACAGTCGGTGCTGAAAACATGCTTAATATATTTTGGTTCCGCTCTTTGATCTCATTCCTCAGCTTCCCTTCTGTGCCAACCACAATTACCTTCCTTCACGTTAGCCCTTCTCTCCATTCCTCCCCTGTCATCAGAGAATGCCTGAGTGACTCCTGTGTCCCCTGCAGTGTCGTGGAACTTGTAGAGTGGATACAAAAGAGCGACTGCTAGTGTGTCAAGTTTGTCCTTCTTAGAGGTCTGAGGTTTACGACAAGAAAAAGAGAGAGAGACAGAGAGAGAGGAAAAGAAGGAAAGGAGGAAGAAAGAAGAAAGAAGAATGAAGGAAGGAAAAAAAAAGCCCCTCGTGTCCTTAAAGAATAAAATGAATCCTCCTTCCCAAAGTGATGATTAAAAATTAAAAACAAACAAAGCTTTATGATTCAAGACTGCTCCCCCCAGGTACTCCTGGGGGAATTCTCCTTCTCTCCTAATTTCTTTATCAGCATCACGTCTGAACCATGTGAAGATCAATAGTTATTTATTTTTTATTCATTTATTTATTTTAGGAAGATTAGCTCTGAGCTAATATCAGCTGCCGATCCTTCCCATTTTTTTTTTTTTTGCTGAGGAAGATTTGCCCTGAGCTAACATCTGTGCCCATCTTCCTCTACTTTATATGTGGGATGCCTGCCATAGCAGGGCTTGATGAGCAATGTGTAGGTCTGTGCCCGGGATCCTAAATGGTGAACTCCAGGCTGCCAAAGCAGAGGGTGTGAACTTAACCACTGTGCCACCAGGCTGGCCCCTATTTATTTATTTTTTTGGTAAGGGAGATTGGCCCTGAGCGAACATCTGTAGCCAATCTTCCTCTTCTTTTTTTCCACTTGAGGAAGAGTGGCCCTGAGCTAAATCCTGAGCCAACTCCTGAGCCAATCCTCCTCTATTTTGTATGTGGGACGCCGCCACAGCATGGTTTGATGAACAGTGTGCAGGTCTGCACCTGGGATCCAAACCTGTGAACCCCAGGTTGCTAAAGTGGAGTGTGAGAACATAACCTCTATGCCACTGGGCTGGCCTCAATAGTTATTTTTAATGCAGAATAGATTATCAGCAACATTTAAATCCCATCCCTCCCTCCCACAGATAGCACAGAGCTGCTTTTTCTCCTTCTATGAGTTATTCATGCTTAAGACACACAGAGCTTTCAGTGATAATCTCAGCTAAATTTACATAGAAAAACAATCTTATATACTGCTTTAAAATGTTTCCAATTTCAATTTCTAAACTCTCTGTATTGCCTACGGACAAGAATTCATCTCTCTGAGAGTACTTCCCTCATCCCTGGTCTTTGGAGGTATGCCTCAGAGTGCCCCGAGATCCTCTGCTTTAGAGCCATTATGAAAATTCTCTCTTTCTCTGCTTAGACCCAAATCAGGCACACAGTAGGTGTTATTACCTGCTGGATGGAAGAATAAGTGAATTATTGCCGCTACAGAGATTTATTTTCTCCCACTAGTGTGACTAAGTTGATTTTTTCTTTTCTTTTTGACATCAAGCCATTTTCACAGAAATGGAAAAACATTATTTAATGTGAAAAGCCACTATTATGATCTATTATAATCTTCACTCCCAAATGGAAAGGAACAACTTGTCTTTCCATCTACCGTCTAAATTGTGGGTAACGAGTTTCAGTTTCTAAATGTAATTGCTGTGCGGATCCTATTTTGTTCTTGGATCTCCCTGAAGCATTCCTCTAGCCTTCTACTTCGGAGTTTTGTTTGAAGAACATTCTTGTCAGTTGAGATTAAGATAACATTTCTACGAGAACACAAAAGCTGAGAAAGAATTCCAGTCACGCTGCCTGAGGAACCAGCTGTGCTCGTCCTTCTGTTTTCTCTTCCTTCTCCAGGCAGAGTGGAGGCTGTGTCTCCAGGGAATGAAGTGAGTCAACAGGTACAGTTACTGGGTGAGTAAGGTGTGGCACATCATCCTCTCAAATACGGTAAACAGGGCAAAGCGCTGGATAGAAGGCCAGCCTTCTATCATTCTAGTAAACATTCTAGAAAAACTGATTTTTTCAATAAATATTTCAGGGTGTAGGAAAGGCTTCTAATGTATTCTTTAGTCTCTTTGTCCATTTTCTTTTGATTTAGTGGACATCCAGAAAGGTAAATCTAATCAGAATGTACTTTCCACCAAAATGTCTAGAATTTTCTTGACTCTCAAATAACCAGAGGTCTTTGTAGAAATAGTCATATGAAATACTCATTTCAATCTGGATTCCTTTGTCCACATGCCTACTTTTTGCGGAAGTGACTTCAAGTTCAATCTGAGATCTGCTCATAAAGAAAATTCTTTCATCTTACAAACATTTGTGTGCGTGCTGTGTGGTAGTAAGTGTTAGGAAGAGTGGAGAACAAGGCAGAGAAAGTGGCTGGCTTCATGGCACTTTCATACTAATGATTTTCTGTCTTAAAACATCACAGCCCAGAATTCTGAACAAGTTGCTTCCCAAATCCTGCTGTACTATAGTTTTCCAGTGCCTCCCAAATTCTCTCTCTCAGAAAGGGGTGAGACAACTTCATAAGGAAACGCCTGGGATGTTTATTAAAAGTCTGGATTCTCAGCCCGTTAAGCCCAGAGATTCTGTTTCAGTAGGCAGGACTGACCCAGGAATTTCTATTTTAAAAAAGTTTCAACTACTTTTAAAAAGTTTTAAAAAGTGGTCCTTTGGGGGGGTGGGTAACACCTGAAAATCAGAAAAATTCTGGAATAAATCCAAGTGACTAAATGGTTAAAAACCATTTTTATTGTTGATTTGGTAAACACCTGAAGTCATGTTTGGGAGAAAACTATGAAAGAGAACTTAATCCAGTGCAGCAATGACCGTGACAAAGAGTCAGGACTAATTCCCCCGAGTAACTTGACTGCTGAGCTTTGTTCCAACTCACGCAGTGCAAAGTTAAAATAAATCACACAAATGACTAAGAATTATATAAGCCTTGTGAATATAAAATGAACGCAAGCCTTTTTTTCTAGTTAGATGCTGTAATACAGCATCTATCCTGTCTTTAACAGTTTGCATAGGACTACAAAGAACATTTTCTGTATGAATAGGCACTATAAAAACATTCTATTGCTGTGCAATCTCATAATATATCTGACGCATTGCCAGAGCCAAAGGCTAGGATGCAATCTAAGTAAGTTTGTTTCCTCCTTAGAACAGTCTGGTCTTTCAAAGGGATCTCTACCCAACGCCTTTGTGATCTTAGGTAGAAATTCGCCTTACAAACAGCCCATTACGGCTTCAAAAAATTTGAATGATAAAATTTGATGTTTGGTGTATTTTCCTTTCTTGAATTTCCATTACTGAAAATTAAGATTTGAAGATTCTTTCCAGAAACCTTTACATTTCTAAAGACAACAAATAAAATAATTACTTCTTCTTATCCCCTTCATGCCAACTGGCTGAAGTTTGACTTATTTTTTTCTTCGTTTTAGATTTGACACATCCATTGCCAAATGAATAAAATGCCTCTTATGCTTATTCAGAAATACAGAGTTCTTAAAGTAAGAGCAAAAAGAACTAAAAAGTATTCTAAAATTGGATGGTGGTGATGGTTCCACTACTTTGTGAATATCCCGAGGCACTGAGCTAACATCTGCCTCCAATCCTCCTCTTTTTGCTGAGGAAGATTGGCCCTGAGCTAACATCTGTGCCCATCTTCCTCTATTTTATATGTTGGATGCCAACCACAGCATGGTTTGACAAGTGGTGCGCGTAGATCTGCACCTGGGAACCAGCGAACTCTGGGCTGCTGAAGTGGAACATGCAAACTTAATCCTTATGCCAAGGGGCTGGCCCCCTGTTTTTCTTATTTTTGTAATTTTTTACGTTTGATTTCTACTTGCACTTTCAAATAAAATGATTCTTTACCTGAAATCTTAATTTAGGTCAAGGAAAACAGATTCTGAAATCAATTTCTTTTTTAGTCACCGTTATTCATATTTCTTGGGCATGCTACATATGAATACCTAGGAATTTACCTTTGAGGATAGACAGTGCTCGAATTCATTTGTTCTGTAGTCACTTCACTTCCTAGTCATGTGTTGCTTAAATACAGGAAAGGTGCTGAGATATTCTGGAACTCTACCCTGCTGTTTGGGATTCCAGAGTTTTAGGAAAAGAGTTCAATTTAAAGATCTGATGATAGTTTGAGTCCATTGCATTGTGCTTTAATAATATGTATGTAAATGGGCTCTGAGGTTTAATCAAATACCTGGTGCAATGCATAAAGTTGGACAGCTACCTCATCTCTCTCTCTCTCTCTCTCTCTGTCTCTCTCTCTCACACACATACATACAAACACATGGAGTGAGGACAGTAGAAATAAGCCAGTACTTTTAGCCAACAGTCTATCTGCAGATCTTGATCAAAGTGGTAAATTTCAAGAATGCATTGAAATAAACAAATTAGATTGTTCCATTTTCTATTTGGGTGGGTCACCTCTAATGCTTTTAACATTTAAAATGCCTGATGTTTGACATTGTCTAAATCAGAGTTAAGGCTGTGAGCAGGCTCCAAATGTTAACATGTTACAGGTTGGAGTTTTAAAAATATGTTTTAGAAAGAGTCATATAATAAAAAAAATAAATAATTTCTTTACAAGTTAGCTGAGAACTAGGAATTCTAGGTAGGAGCTCCAGTCCAAAAATATAGAGACATTTAATCATTGTTTATAATTTAAATAAATTCTTTTTTGAATATACCCAGTCCTTTGGATCTGAAAGGAGTTTGGTTTTCCAGCATCCCCTGTTGAAAGCTAAAGTTCAGAGTTGATATCTCATTGGCTGAAATGAGCTGGAAGCAGCCGTGAGCCCTTGCGGAAAAATGGAGGATTGGAGGTCAAAAAGTTCCTAGGTGGAAGAGAGAGATGTTAAAACAGGATGTGGATCTGCACCTCACACAGCTGAAAGTTCAGATGAATTAAAGAGTTAAAGTTAAAAAAAAATCTTTAGAGTAAGAAAGTTTCCATAATTATTTTTCAGATACCTGGTTTGGAATGGCTCACACAAAAAGAAAAAGATACTGCTACCAAAAAATCACAAGTAAATGAAAAGATGTACAGGGAAAATAATCACCTCAGACGTGAGAGTTGCTATTTTTCACATTGATTTTTAAAAATCCAAGACATGAGATCTCAAAAACAGCAAATTTACAGAAGAATAAATGTCGTATACCTCAGCCCCTGACCGAGTGACTTAATCACGGGGAAAAATGTACAACTGCAAAGTAATAATCTTGTATTTACAATAAGTGATTTAGAAAACAACCATGTGATACGAGGGGCCCCAGTTCGTTCTCTGCTCCTTACCATTTTCCCAGTCAGTAAAATCATTTGGATCAGAGGTGGTTTCAAAAAGAGTGCTGATCGTTAATGAGCTATTTCTCAAAGGTCATTAGGACTGAGTTGGTAAACATAGGTGATTACTGGTGGCATGGCTGCCGTCACGTTTGCGGCAGCATAAACATATAGTTTTCCCAAAGACTTGGCGTATTAAGTTTTCATTGGGATGTATTCTAAAGGGAACGTGTCTCTATATGTCTGCATTATTCCGTGTAAATTGTGAGATAATTCCCAGGGGTTGACTTATTTTCTGGTGAATTTGTTTTTTGTTTTTCTTTTTCTGTAGTGTTTTTCCCCAACAACCTGTTTGGCTCCAAACAAACAAAGAGAGTGAACAAAATATACGTGTGTGTCTACTTTTTCAACCTCTCCGTTAACCTCATTACAGCTCCTTCTCTGCCTCGACTCCACAAAGCTTGTCGTCCTAGCAACAGACCAGCATGTCAGTTTTCTCTCTGTTATCTCAATTGCATATTGTCTGCTCACCAGCTATTATCTCTTACTCTAGTTAAGTCTAGGTTAATTAACTGTGTTCTCTTTTCCTAAAGAAATAAATCTCCATCACTCTGTTTTCCTGTTGTCTTAGTCATGACTTTAATCTTAGAGTAAAAGGGAACTATGGTTTGGAAGTATATATATTTTTCTCATAAATAAGCACAGATTGGGATTTACCTTAGACCACGATATCTCAGATTGAGGTCAGCAAACTGCTTCCCACAAATTCTGCACCATCTCGATGTCCATCTTCTAAGGGAGCACCCAGTCACATCTGCCTAAGTCTACACTGGGGTGTGATAATGTGTTTGCACAAAGTGGAAGCTACGTCACTGCACAGCGAAGTTTTCAAAACACTTGAAATAGACAGTCTTGAGTCAGTTGGTACCTCTGTCCCACATTCTCACTGCAAATGGCTGCTTTACGCAAATGTTTCTAATACCAACCTGCAATAATTCAGCAATGACAAGTGGGCACTAAACATGCAACGAAGAAATTTGCTGCTTTTAATTTTAGCAATCAATAAAACAGAAAAATATTTAATGTCGATTTCACCAAAGCCATAATGTCAACCTGAACTTTAAATAAACACAACAGCTTTACTCATTTTTATGTGTTAGGTTGGCACTTGAAGATTTCTTGTTGGGTAGATCTTGTGTTGCTTTCTGCAGCTCTCCCTCTGGACTTCCTGCCTCTGGTTTCTCTCCGGATCCAGATCATCCTTCACGCAGCTACAAGAAAGATTTTCTTACAGAAATAAATTGGCTTCTGTCACTCTCTCATAAAGAGCCTCTGCTGCGTCTTTCTCTCTTTTTCTAAATTGTGGTCAGAAAGGAACACAAGATCTACCCTCTGAACAAATGTTTAAGTGTATAATACAGTATTGTTAACTATAGGCACTATATTGTACAGCAGATTTCTAGAACTTAGTCATCTTGCATAACTAAAATTTTATGCCTGTTGAACAATTCCCCATTTCCCCCTCCCCCAGCCCCTGGCACCCACCACTCTATTATTTGCTTCTATGATTTGACTATTTTAGGTATTTCATAGAAGTAGGATCATGCAGTATTTGTCCTTCTGTGACTGGCTTATATCACTTAGCATGATGTCCTCCAGGTTCATCCACATTGTTGCAGACAGCAGAGTTTCCTTCTTTTTTAAGGCTGAATACTATTCCATTGTATGTATATACCACATTTTCTTTATCCATTCATCTGTGATGGACATTTACGTTATTTCCAAATCTTGGCTATTGTGAATAGCGCTGCAATGAACATGGTATCTCTTCAAGATCCTGATTTCAATTCTTTTGGATAAATACCCAGAAGCAGGATTGCTGGATCATATGGTAGTTCTATTTTAATTTTGTGTGTGTGTTTATGAGGAAGATTGGCCCTGAGCAAACATCTGTGCCACCCTTCCTCTACTTTGTATATGGGACATTGCCACAGCATGGCTTGATAAACAGTGTGTAGGTCCGTGCCAAGGATCTGAACCTGTGAACCCCAAGCCACCAAAGCAGAGCATGTGGACTTAACCACTACACCACCGGGTTGGCCCCAAATATTTCAAGTTTTTGAGGAATCTCCATACTGTTTTCTGTAGTGGCTGCATCATTCTACATTCTTACTACCAGTGTAAAAGAGATCCAATTTCTCCACATCCTTGCTGACATTTATCTTTTTTTTTTTTTAAATACAATAGCCATCCTAACAAGTGTGTGGTCATATCACATTATCGTTTTGATTTGCATTTCTCTAATGATTAGAGATGTCTCTTTTGGAGACATATCTGTTCAATTCCTTTGACTGTTTTTTAATTGAGTTATTTGTCTTTTTCATTTGTTTTGAATTGAGTTGAGTTGAAATGATTTCTTATGTATTTTGGATATTAACCTCTTATCAGACATAGGGTTTACAAATATTTTCTCTCACTCTGTAGGCTGCCTTTTCATTGTGTTGATTGTTTCCTCTGTTGTGCAGAAGATTTTTAGTTTGATGTAGTCCCACTTATCTACTTTTTCTTCTGCTGCTTGTGCTTTTGGTGTCATGACCAAGAAATCATTACCAATGGTCTTTCCCCAAGTTTTCTTTTAGGAGTTTGATAGTTTAAGTTCTTACATTTAAGTCTTTAATCCATTTTGAATTGACTTTTATACATGGTGTAAGGTAATGATCCAGTTTCATTCTTTTGCACTCACATACCCAGTTTTTCCAATACCATTCGTTGGAGACTGTCCTTTCCTCATGTATATTCTTGGTTACCTTGTCAAGGATGAGTTGAATGTATGTATACAAATTTATTCTGGGCTTAAAAAGAGCCGTTGCTGGCTCTTAATTGACTGTAGGACAGAATATTACCTGGCTTTGTCTATCTCTCTCCGTCCTCATCTTGTGGCCCTCTTACTTTACAATTACTGAAAATTGCATAGGACTAAGGATAAGTAACCCTATGATACCCCAAATAGGAGGGTGATAGGAGATCACAGCTATTGAAGTGTAGGAGAATTGTCAAAATTACTTGAAATGTTTCATACACTGTAATATCCCAGGCATCTCTCTTTGCTCTTATCTCAATTCCTATTTGCTTATTTAAGGTCCACCTGTGGAGAGACTTGCCTTGATTACAACCTAATAATACTTCTAGCATTTTAGTCATGATCTGCTTAGGCCAAGTACAGGACACACTACCACTGCTCCTGAGAATGCCAGGTATTCTTATGATTCTATGCCTGGAACGTCCTTTCCTCCCCCTTTGCTTGAACCTCTCCTCAAATACCAGCTCAACACTCTTGTGATCTCTCACTAGCTCCCTTAGGCAGGGTTAGTGTCTCTAGTCCATGCCATTGAGAAGCATTTTGCCTCTAGAAGATCTATCACTCCTTGCTTGTAGTGTTTTCATAAAGTTGACAAATATAAAAGCAACAAAATCACCCATCATTCCATTGCTTATGAAAAACCATTGTTTTGGTTTATCGCATTGTAGGTTTTTCCAGTATAGAGCTGTTTAAAAAAAAATAACTCAACAATCCTACTATACATATAGCAGCCTTCTTCTCCCTCTCATCTTAACATTTATCAAAAAGTTCCCCGTAAGTTTATGTCTTTGAAACCATCCCTTTTAATGTCTGCATACTATTCCATCAGGTAAATTCATCACTTATTTAATCCTCCCCAAATCATTCAACATATGTTCTTTCTAAATTTCTTGCTTAATCGTATTTTCAATTCCAACATTATCATTTACCTTAGGCATATTAAATATTCAATAAATGGGTGTTTAGAGAAATCTTCTGTCTAGGAATTTATGCCATTCTCCGCTTATCTTACTGTTTTGATGAATTTTTATCCCAAGTACAGAGTATTAACTGAAAATTTATCATAGAATCTGAGGGAATGGGAGAGCTGGAAAAACTATCTAAAGGTTTTAGTCTGAAGCTTTTCCTTTGGAAACATGTCAGATTACAGTTCCCTTAGTTATCTTGATCATTCCAGATAGATTGTGGTGTGTATGTAAGCGTTTGCATCTCTCTGATTTGCCTCTGTTAACAACAGAAACTATTCATCAATTCTACCAATGGAATAGAAAGGAGGAGACATAAGCATTTTTTTCCAAAATGTTGAATGGGTTATGTGTGAATATATATCAAGCTTGTGGCATGCACATATTAAAAAAAAATAAATTATTTGGAAATGTTTATTCCTTCAGAAAGGGCAGAACTGTCTTGAGGCTCAAGGAAATGTCACAGAATGAATAAATGGGAACTAATTATAGAAACTCTTGCCTAAATTTTTGGCCTTACTTACCATCATCAGGATTTGCTTCAGCATATCAGGGGAAGGTGAGAGTGGGGAACGGGCCAAGAGCTGGGTGGGAGAAGCGCTTTCCATTTGACCCATATATACAAATGGTCCGTAAAGCTAGCTGAGAAACACCTGACAAATCAGTGTTTGCTGAAATAAACGATTTATTCGGAAAAAAATTGACATTGGTATTTTACAAATATTGACATTGGTTTCCATCACATAACAGGAAACATAACGTGAAAAGAAGGTTTAGTTTAGAGGAAGAATCAAGGTATTCGGATTCAGACTTGGGTTCAAATCCCATCTCCATTCCTTACGATGTCTGAGACCTTAAGCAAGTCTGCCAACCTCTCTGATCTTTAGGCTTCTCATTTGTAAAATAGGAATAATAATGCTTTCCTTGCCAAAAGGGTATAAAAGTAAAAAGCGAAAAACACTTAGCATCTGGCACACAGAAGTCATTCAAAAAATGGGAGCTATTATTATCATATTATCTTACATATTGGTGTCCAAAATGAAATAGGAAAACGGATTTTGTCTGGAATAAAAGGCAATTGACATGAGAAACATGCTGGGAAGAATAGGTTATCATAGGATGGCTGCCATTTTTTTTGGTCATCTGTAACCTAGTTTATCTGATATTGTTTTAAATCAGCGGGTCCCTCTATTTGTGTACATAGGCCCCTTAAGTGTCATCTGAAAACTTCCAATGCCTGAGTACTTATCACAGAGTGAGTCAATCAACTTGGTCCATAAATAATAGGAATCTCTAAAATAGCATGATTAGTTTAAAAATTTCGGGGAGTATCTGCTATGACAGGCGACACTTGACTTATTCTATCCGAATGCTCTTCTCTGAGTCCTGTGAAGTCCTCTTGAAAATAAGTTCTACCAACTAAAAAGCATAACTTTGCTCAGATTCCTCTTTATACTTAGAATATTTTTCTGCCCAAGGATATCAGTAAAGAGCTTTGGTTATTCCTGAGAGAACAGCAGTTTCACAAATAAAGCCTCTTCCTCCATGCCATGTTCTTTCATCTGCACAAAATGCTGATGGACATACGGGAGTGCCAAACCCTTCTGGAAGCCAGCAAAGACATACTTATGATGCAAAAGTGGAAATGGGAAATTAGGGGGAGGAGAGAGAGGATGTGAACCAGGTATTTCTTTAACTAAAACATACCAACAGACTACGTTTGATGTTCGTAAGAGTAGGATTAGAAATTCACTTTCTTCCCAACATGGACCATAGAGAAAGTAAAATCAA